GTAGTTGTTTACTATTTTTTTTTTTTTTTTTGGTAGCGATTGTTGTATTGATCTTTTGATGAAGATATACCATATTTTCCACTTTTTGGTAAAATTTCATAAAAAACAGAGTGTGGGTTTTAGAAGAGGATTTCAATTTGCGGTAGCCTTAAACTTTGATAAGAAGTATGTTGAAAACTTGCTTGTTGTTCTCCTTTAAACCAACTAACTTTTACTTCATCAGCAGAAGCTATACTTCTATCAAAATTTTCTGTACAAAGACATCATCTTCTGCTAGTTATTTTGTACAAGAATGCTTTTAACTTGCTTGCTAAATATACAAAGAAGTTTAGAAAAAAACAGTCAGAAGCCTTAATCTTTATAAAAACTGATATTTTAGTTGTCTCTTCTACTTTCTCCAACAAGTTTTCTATTTTCATTAGTCGTAAATTTTGGTACAAGTGATCATCAGGAAGAGTTGTGATTGTAAGAAATTGAAATATTAATATAATTATTATTATATGATAAATATAATTTTAATAATATAAAAATAATAAATTTGATTAGCTATTAATTATATATTAAATATATTTATAGATAAATATTTATAAATAGATCAAACAATTAGTATATATTTAGAACTTTTTTCACTGATTATCAAAACACAAATTTCCGAAAATAAAATTTAACTAAAAAACTTAAAAAATATACAAAGTCACTAAGAAACTAATCTTGAGCTTCTAAGTAAAGAGGAAGAAAACAACAAGAAACACTCAGTCTTTTAAAGATTTGAGTAAGAAAAACAGAAGCGGCAAAGAAATAGAAGAAGTTGTGAAAAATTATCAATATTTTTTTGCACTTTGCAAACTTTGGGGAAATCAGTCTTGACCCTGAATTGTAGATCTGTTTTGGTAATACAAGAATCACAATACGTAATAGAAAATAAACAAAAGAAACACAACAAAAACTATGTGATGAAAATAAACAAAAATAGTAAACAACTACAACAAACAACAACAACAAACAATATTAGTCAGAAAACAACAAGTCACGTAAAGAAAAAAACAATAGCAAGTTTTGGAAAAAACCTGTCATAGCAGAATTAGCAAAGATGAAATTAAAAGAAATAAGAAAAAATATAGAAATGTATAGATGAGGTTATATTAATTCTGATATACCAAAAAGCTTGAAAGAGATAATAGCAGATATCCAGGGCTTTAAAGAAACAATATCTGATGAAATAACAAATACAACAATAGAAGAAGAAATAGCAGAATACACTAGGCAAGAGCTTATTTCAAAAGAAATAGCCAACAAGCAAATAGTAGAACTTTATGAAGAATTATGGTACTATAACATAGAAGAATCGAAATACACAAAACTTGCACTTATAAAGAGAGAACATAAGGCCTTTTATGAAGCAATCCAAAAAGAAAAGAACCCAGTTAATTGTATTATAATAGAAAAATAGTTAGTTATATAGTAGAATTAAGAATAGCCAATAGAATTAGAAGATTATTAGTAAAAAGAAAAAAACAACATGCTGAATTAAAAGCAAAATTAGAAGAAGGTTAAAGCAAGAGACTTCAAGAACAAAGAAAAAGTCAACAAAAACAGCTCAACAAAACAGCCTTAAATTCTACAATACTTCAGTTTAAAGAACCCGTCAAGACTACAACAACAAACCAACAAGAAACAAGAAAAGAATTAAAAAAAAAGGAAAAGATGCAAGTTTAACAAGAAAAAAGACAAGCTGTCAAAAAAAATCGAAATTAGATATAGATTGAAACAAGAGATTTCAAGAACAAAGAAAAATCTAACAAAGGCAGAATAATATCTCAGACTTAAGAACTCTATTAATATATTTTAATTGGTAATTCGCTAGTCAGCCAGTGAGAGGTTATAGTATAACATGACACAGTTTACTTATAGAAATTAGAGTTTTGCGAATGTAGGCTGCATCATTCTAAAACTTTTTTTCATACTAAGTTAACTACCTTTAGGCTTCTAATTGAAGTTATAAAGCTCATTGAGAGAAATCTAATAGTAGTTAAATTGTCAAAATCGGCCTTGTGAATCACAAGATATCTTCGAAAAACATTTCACCAACTATGTAAAATTCTCTCTTTGGACAATACATATGGGCTAATCGGGCTCATTTAAGTGATATTTGAGAGTGATTATCCAGATTTGTATAGCAAACTGTGCCAATCAGATTTATTTATGTAATAATCAAGATTTTGATATATACAAAAATATCCAAACAATCGTTCCTTCTAGAAAAAAATCATTTCTTCTATCTTATCAAAAAACTCGAAAAACAGGTTGACAATGAGTTGGCAATGAGTTGACAATGAGTTTGTACTGAGTTTTTTGCCAATATGGCTATAGGTATGTATTAAACGAACTTCTACACATGCTCAATAGTTATTGTTTACAATTAGCAATTTTTGAATCTGTGCCCAGTTATGCATGATTATGCATGATCTACAAATCAGATTTGAGAATTAGGTGTAATATAGCACAATCAAAACAAACGTTTGTTTTGCCAAAAATCGCTTCTTTCTCAAGAATCTGTATAGTAAACCACCTTTAGTATACTAACAAAAAGTTTTCCTTGTGCAATTTTACTATAAAACTACTTAGCTTTTAACTTTATACGAAACGCTAACCTTAACATTAATGAACTTTAAAGAATTTTACATAGTGATCGGCAACATGCATAACCAGCACAGATTCAAAAATTGCTTACGATTATATATATTTGTATATTTGTATATAACACTTTAACTACTCTAACTCTTACCTTTATATAAATTTTTTCTTTTTAGTTTCGTTTAAACTATATACTTTTGAATAAACAATTCTTTAAAAATTTTTTTTTAAGAAAAATACCTTTTTTAAATAAACAAAAAAAAAATAATGGTTGAATTATATTTGAAAGAAATTTAAGGTTCTAGCTCTATTATTCGATACCCTCTTCAAGAAGTTTGTTAGCAAGATAATATGCAAACTAATGGCTTAGAAATTATTGATGATTATTCAAACATATATATAACTCGACTTACTAGAAATAAAAAAAACAATATCTATACAAAATTTTACATCTTGGTTTTTATCCACAACAAGTAAAGCGAACTTAACGAGGTGGTTATCCAATTCCTAATGGGTATATAGTTAGCGTAACAGTTTATGGTATAAATTTAATTGCAAAAACTCAATATAATTCTTATGAAGAGGTTCTATATACAATTACTTGGGATAATGGAACAAAACAGTCTGTCTCAAGCAATAAATCAGCTAGTAATGTTTTAGCTTTATTTTTGCAGATTGTAATTAATAAAATTCTATAAATAAATTAATTAATTGTTATAATATATACAGTATATTATATACTTACATGTGTTATATATTTATAAAATAAAAGTTAAAGGGTCATAGTAATTCACAATTTTCGGGGGTTATACTTTTTGAACTCGATCTAAAATGTTTAGAAAAACGTCGAAACCTAGATCAAAACTTTAAAGCTTAATCATAAAAAAAACCATTTCATGAACTTCAATCTGAATCACAAAAAAATAAACACCTCAAAGCTTTGGCTTATGATATTTGTGATGAGGTTGAGTCTGCAATCCAACTATATAACTTTCACGATACTGTATTGAAATCTATAGAGCTAGATGTAAATGAGTTACACATTAATTTTCAAAATTTGAAATCTGAAAAATCTCAATCAAATCAATTTTTAGATTCAATTGTTTGCGTATGTAATAAGTTGTTAATTTCTTATAATACATATCGCCAGCTTGTAGCTATTATACCCAAAATGGAGCATGAATATAAAATTGAGAGGCATCGACAAGAAATAACAAAGATTATGGATAATAAAATTCCAATTCACATGGCTCAAGTTAATTCTTTAAATGAAGCTTACAGATCACTTAAAGATATTTTGTTTATTTTAATATCTAAATTAGCATACAGAAATCACCAGTTTTACAATTAGGGGATGTTATTCATATTAAATTAAGTGGAGATAAAAGACAAGTGGGCAAGCACCATAATCACGTAATGGTAACTATGTGTATATTAAATAAGCATAATATGGTTTTAAACCCATTTAATCAATATTGTATTTTTCTTTATGATGAGACAGAACAATACGAATCTCTTCAAATAGTTTTTAGTTTTTTAATTTGCGAATTAACAACTTTAAATGTGGACGGAATTATTGACTCAAATAACAATCATTGGAAAATTGAGTTTTGGTTTGGTTCCGATTGGAAATTTATGTCTTTAATTCTCGGTACTAAAGGGCCAACAGCGAATTATTTTTATCTATATTGCGATTGCAAAAACACGGACCGTTGGGATATAAATAAGGATTATGAAAATTTATATAATACACAAGAATGAAAAAATTCAAATCTTTTAACTTTCTTAGAACAACAACATTGTATACTAGATGAACTACATGTAATGCTTTGCATTACAGATATTTTATTTGAATGTTTTTTTTTTGAATTATCAGTTAAATCGATATTTAACAAAAACAAAAAACAATGAAATGATAATTTGGGAACAAGTAGAATCAACTATTCATTCTATTGGTATCAATATTTTTAAGTTTAATAAACCTAAAAAACCAAAAAGAAAATGGCGTTGGATATCATTAATGGGGCCAGATAAATTAACAATTCTAGAAAAATTTCCCGTAACTACATTTATTTTAGGCCAACGCGGAAAAGAAATACAAAAACTCTGGCATAACTTTTTTTTTTATATAAGACAATGTGTAAAATTAATTTAACAGATGAGGATATTGTTAACTTTGAACTTTCAGCACAGCAATGGGTTAAAAAATTTTGTCAACCAACAATCGAAAATAAAAAAGAAAAAATTCTACAAGGACTTTATCAACATGATGATGTAACTCCATACATACATGTATTTGCATATCATATTCTGAAATTCATGAAATTTCTTAAATCAAAGAATCTATATCTATGATAGTTTTTGTGTTCAGATGTTAAAAAAAAAATCATATTCATGTTCAATTATTTTATAGTAATACAACGATGGGTGGCGGTAATTCTTCAAAATCTGCAACTTATAAAATGTGTTTTTACGAAAGTAGACAATTTTATTATTACATAAATGAAACATCTTTATCTTACACTAAAAAGATTATTTAAACAACAACTATATTACGCTTATATATTTCAAATATAAACTTTAAAACCCTATATGTCCAAGTATAAACTTCTCTATTATATTCTTCCTTAGTAATTCGCTCTTTTCAAATAAAAATAAACTCAGTTTCAATTATTTGCTGTGTTTCAAGATCTTTTTTTTCGGTCATTACTTTAACTTCACCTCCTGTTTTGTTTTTTTTTTACCCCAAGCAGAATACATAAAGATATACCCAATTTTTTGGTACCTATTCTGTCCTTTATATGTGCATTTATATTTTCGTTGAGCCACCTAGTATTCAAACCCTAGTTCTTGGTGAAACATGTAATAAAAAAGGTTTTCAGAATAGTACATGGTGAATTGTTTGAAGCCTTGTGCTGACCGGTGGGTATATAGACGAGACTTTATATTCACAAGAAAGATTGAGTGAAACTGACACAGACACCAACTTGAAAGAAGTTTAAAACAAGAACTATGAGGTATAGTACAATTGTATAGGTATTTTCTTGCTTCGTAAGATAGTAAAGAACTTTTGTCGAATAGGTTTTAAACCCATTTAATCAATATTGTATTTTTCTTTATGATGAGACAGAACAATACGAATCTCTTCAAATAGTTT